TCTATCCCATTCATTGAAGTTAAGGTCTAGAAACACCTCCACGGGAGCTAAGGGGTGCTCCATGTTGGGGCTGGACCTGTGCACAGCCACTGGTACCATCGGTGAGCGCTTCTGGGTGCTGTCTCCACACCACATTCTCCAGAAGTCAGAACCCCTGTCCCTTAAATCCAGCACCCGCAGTTTGCACTTCCTGTGGGGAAAGCAGGACATTAGTCTAGATTCTTTTAGGTCAAGAGGACAGTGGCTAAGATGCTTTATGGACAGTGTGTCTCAGGGATTGAGCATCTACCTATGAACCAGGAGGTCATGATTTGCTTCTCAATCAGGGCACATGCCTGTGTTGCAGGCTCAATGCCCAGTGCAGAGGGGAAGTATTTGCAAGAGGCAGGCCATCACGACTCTCTCTAATCATTGGTGTTTCTATCTCTATCTCTCCCTTCCTCTCTGAAATCAAGAACAAAAAATCTTTTTAAAATAATGACAGAGGCCTAGCTGGTTTGGCTCAGTGGACAGAGCATCAGCTTGTGGACTGAAGGGTCCCAGGTTCTATTTCAGCCAAGGCCACATGTGGGGGTTTCAGGCTCAATCCCTTCACAGGTGGTGTGCAGGAGGCAGCCAATTAATGATTCTTCCTCATCATTGATGTTTCTTTCTCTCTATCCCTCTCCCTTCATCTCTGAAATCAATAAAAATATTTTTTGAAAAATAACAACAGAACGAAAGCAGGGAAGAATGAGACTGAGCATCTGGGTTGAGGCAGCAATCAGACTCCACCCCAACCGTGAGCTTCTACTTAGAATCCCAAGGTCAACTTCGCCCTTACCCTCCTCTTCCCTCTGCTTTGCTTTGCTCATCTCCTTCCGTCCCTCCTGGTTCCTGCTTCTCCTACTTTCAAATACCACTGGGAGGAGGCAGTGCGTTTTGCAGATGACTCTCCCAGTCGGGAGTCCTCCAGTTCCCATGGTGAGCTCAGCAGTGTGCCAGGGCTCCCTGAGCCTCACTGACACCTTCACAAACCTTGGGACCCCCTCAGGCCTCCACACACCCTGATGCCATTGTCTCCAGGATACCCAGGACCCTCCCAAGTACCAGGAGCAGCCTTACCTGGGGCGAACCTCCTGGGCAAGCAGAAGGTCAAGCCCATCCAACACGGCTTTGAAGACCATGTCCAGTGACAGGTCTGGCAGGCCGCCCAGAGGGAGGACAGTGAAGGGCCAGGCTTGTGCCATCGCCTTCAGGACCTGGAGATGTCTACTACGGTAGGCCTGGATGAACAGCTGCGGGAAGAGCTCGGCGGGCAGGTACTCCAGAGCTGCGATGGCCAAGGCCTGATCCCTCAGCAGGCTCTCCCCCGTCAGCTGCAGGAGTGTGGGTGGGGTCTTGATGCTCATTCTCAAGGTGCTCCAAAGGAATCCTGTGGAAACAACCAGGGAACAAGGCATCCTCATCAAGCCAAGCCTTTGATCCCCATCTTCTGACTCCCCATTTTCACAGGAATCAACTAGGGCCAAAGCCACTGCCTGACAATGGTGAGAGCCTCTGTTTAGAGAGTCCCATTCTGGGCTAGGTGACCACAGAGCCATAGCTCCCCTGCAGGCCCCAGGACAAGCATCTCAGAAGCATCCACATCTTTCATTCAGTCTGCCTGGGAAGTGGGTACTGAAGGGCCTGAAAGATGACCCCCACCTTTTTCGGGGAAAATTTCAGACCAATCTATAAACACAAACTTAATATTGGAAATTTCCAGAAATAAAACCACAGTTAAGATGTTTTCATTAGGGGTGTGGGATGGGGGGAGAGGGGGGGTTGTTGGGGAATCAGCTTGGTTACACATTTATAAATAGGGGCGCCGGCCCTGCGTTCCGTCGCCGGTCATGGGCCGCTCCCGCCAGACGGGCACGCACCGGGCGCACTTGCTGGGCCGCCAGATGAAGGCGAAGAGGCGGCGGCAGACCTGGACGAGATCCACCGCGAGCTGCGGCCCCAGGTTTCCTCACGGCCCCGGCCGGACGCGGGTGCCCAGCCAGACCCGGACCTGCCCGGGGGCGGCCTGCACCGCTGCCTGGCCTGCGCGAGGTACTTCATTGATTCTGCCAACCTGAAGACCCACTTCCGGTCCAAAGACCACAAGAAAAGGCTAAAGCAGCTGAGCGTGGAGCCTTACACTCAGGAAGAGGCTGAGAGGGCAGCAGGCATGGGCTCCTATGTGCCCCCCAAGCGGCTGGCAGTGCCCACAGAAGTATCCACGGAGGTCCCTGAGATGGACACGTCAACCTGACATGGCCCGAAGATGCAGGGCAGAGCGGCCGCCCATGGACTGTGACGCAGGGCTAGGCCGGGAGAGACTGTGCCATCCTTCTTTGGCCCTGAATTTGCAAGAGGATGGCCTCTTCTGGGTGCCCTCCCCCTCAAATAAAGGACCTGGATAAAGAAAAGAAAAAAAAAATAGACCAAAGCACAAACCCAAATGTTGGAAATTCAAGCAAAACTACACTTAGAGGCAAAATCAATGATTTCAATTTCTTTGTCAGTAAAACAAAGCAAAAGAAGAAAAAAAAAAGAAGCTCTCTGTGTCACCTTGAGAAATTTATCTGCTGTTGATATGGTTGGCGGGGGCTCTGATCTCAGACCTGGGCTCTGATCTCAGACCTCAGCTCTGACTGCAGACCTGGAACTCTCTGACGCTCTGCTCTGATACCTGGGGTTTTTATACACCTTCTTAAACACTAGAATCCAATCAGACCCTCAGCCCCCAGCCCTTAATCCTACCAGGCACCTGAAGCAGCCTTACCTGGGGCAAACTTCCTACGAATAATCCAATAATGCAATTGTTGCCTCTTCAGATGAATGGATTGAGAGAAAGTGAGGGAGGGGCAAGATGGAAGCCTGGCTCATTGATCCCTCCCACAGACACTGACTGAGGTTGACTGATGGCCCATAGTTATCATCCTGGGTGTGAGACAGTGAAGGTGTCATGGGTTCCTGATGTTAAATAGGAAAGAGCAAAACCGGAGAGCATGGTTGCTGGGGTTCTTTGATCACATCAGAGTTATCAGAACATTGCAGACGTAAAACACCCTTGAGAAGACACTGGTGCCATCCCCAGGGGAACTAAGGAAATGTGTCCGGCATCAAGTGAGGTTTTATGTCAGGTGAGCTCCTCCGGGAGCAAGTGGTGGGCGACTGAGGTTGTGGCTGTCCTAGACCCCAAGGCCTCTCTGAGGGAGGTCAAGTCACAAGCACCATGGGAGGCAGGGGTCAGGGCTGGGCAGGGTGATGCTGGGCCATCCTATTGGACCCTGTGAATGACCCTGGGCCATGGAAAAGATGGGTATTTTTCTTGGAAAGAAGAGAGATGGAAGGACTCTTCCTTGGCTGAATTTAGGATCTCAAAGGAAACAAGCTGGAGGGGAGGCAGTGCCATTTTAGAGGGCAAAGGGAGAGATTGGATCTTCTGTCCCGCCCAGGAGGAAAAGGGTGGGTCTGCTCTGGGGAAGATGGGATTAACTCAGCAAAAAGGGTGGAGAAGCTTAAATCTAATAAACTGAGCATAGGGGGAAAGGATCAACCTTGGGAGTTCGACATTTCCAAGCCCAAAAGGCTTTGTAAGTGGATGCTGTGAGCTCTTTGGGATCTTGGAGACAGGGTCAGAAATAAAAGTCATCCAATCACATGCAACCCTGTCAACATCGTGGCAGCTGCGGCTTTTAGTCAAGGTTTTTATACAGAGAAATCTTCCAAGATAGCAAGTGCCTTCCCTGACTACACCATGTCTCCTTGGCTCCACTCCTGCCGTCATGGCACCTTTTCACTTCTCCGCACCCCCAATGACCTTCTTATGACCACCAGCCCCTAAATCCCCCACTTCAGTAAGCATGACCCCAATATCTCTCTGTTCTGTATTGTCTGACATCCGTGTGGTGTGCAGAACCAGAGGCACTGTGAGGCCAGGCAGCAATCATGGGTCCTTAGACATCCGCAAATGAACAGGTGGCCCTTGGCGGTGTGAGGAAGGCCAGCTGTGGCCAGCCCATTGCTGCCACGTGGAGTTCCTGGCCTGCACAGCCTTCCTCTAGGTCCCCATCCTTCTCCTGTCAGTCACTCTCCCCACAGACTCCCCTGAGCACCCAGTGTGTGTGCCACATCCTGACTCTGGGGAACTCTGAGTCACATGGAGAAGACAGCGCCACTGAACAGACTCTGAGTGAGGACAGGAGGCACCGGAGTGAGTGCTGAGGCCTGTGGCTGAGCTCTCCTGGGAATGGGCAGCACAACCCAGGCTGCCTCCTCTAGGAACCATAGGATTTGTCTGCAGTTTAAACACCTGCCACTACTCAGCTGTGGGTGACAAAAATGTGTCAGTGCAGGTCCAACAGTTGTAAGAAATGTCTGGCACAGTCTGGGGTGGGGGTGGGGCGGCTGTGCGTGTGGAGAAGCAGAGGTGTATGGGAATTCTCTACCTTCTGCTCAATTTTTCTGGGAACTTAAATCTGCTCTAAAAAATGAAATCCATTTTTTTTTTAAGAATTCTAAAACAGGCAATAACTTTTTATTCCCTCTCAATTCATTCTGTTCTATCTTTTTGCTTTTCCTGGGTTTTGGTTGCAGGCAGTTCAAGGCTTGCCCCCTGCATTGGTTCAGCCTTTCTCATGGTGATCTCAATCTTTGTTGCAGTCATAGTTACATAACTTCGCGTTACATCAATCACACCCCATAATTTCATATTTTGATGAAATTCCTTCTCTCCTTCGAATACAATGTACACATTTAACAATGTGCTATTTGCTACTACTTGACTAAGTTCCGGAAGTGAATTTTTAGCATATACTGAAACTGTGACTTGACCCCCAGTTTGATGCCAGTCATGTCTACATGGAACAACTTTTTTCCCAGCATCCTTTGCCGTCCACATAGGTTTCCCTTTTGTACAGCCCTCTTGGGCTAAGAAAGTATTAAAATCAGAAGTTTTTCTTCTACAACAGCTCCAGTATTTCACCCCTTCATGGAAAATAGGTACACCAGAATGATATACAGACTTCTAGACTCTGTAGACCTTGATATGTCTTTGTACACCCTCCATTTTTACATGAGGTCCCAATCTTAATTTCATCACTGTCTTCTTTGTCTTTTTCATTCCCAGATGACAGTTTAAGTTTATCCAGGGCTTGTTTTAGGGAGGCAGATACTTTTAATTCCAAACTTGTCATTGGTTCATCTGGGCTTGGCCTCTTTATTGCTTCTACTGGTTTAGGGGCTTGAATGATGTGCTCCTGAAATTTGGGTTTCAATTCAGATAGTTCTTTCTTCTCAGTAGTCTTGACTTCAGGTTTGACTGGCTCAGGTGGCTTTTCACTATTATGCCTGCCTTTTGTACAGCCTACAATGCTTAAAAAATCAGAAAAATCCGTTGTTCTTCTCCTATAGTAAGACCAACCCTTTAATGCATCATGGAAGACTGGTACACCTGGGTGGTATGTGCAAGCATCGTCGGCGTTGCTGTTGGCATCGAAGCGCTGGCCGCAGCCACGGTTGTAGCAGAGCAGCGCCATCTCCGTCCCAGCGACCCGGCCGCGGGGCGGGTCGCGTTCAGCTCCCGCTGCGAGCGCCAGTCTGGCGGCGGCGGGAGCCGGCTTTGAAATCCATTTTTCAAAAATATTTTTATTTATTTCAAAGAGGAAAGGAGAGGGAGATAGAGGCATCAATGAAGTGAGAGAATCATTGATTGGCTACCTCCTACAAGCCCCCTACTGGGGATTGAGTCCACAAACTCGGGCATGTGCCCTTAAACAGAATTGATCATAGGACACTTCATTCGACAATCTATCCATTCAGCAAAACCCCTTAGGGCAAACATTGTTTAAAAAAATATCCCCTTGGGAAAACTGTATGCCATTTCCTCTAAAATGTTTAAATGAAACTTCCATTTGACCCAATTCTCCCACTTCTAGGAATACATTCCAAGAAAACAGAAACACTAATAAGAGGGGATATATGCACCCCGGATTCATAGCAGCACAATTTACAATAGCTATGATTTGGAAACAACCTAAGTGACCCTCATCAGGTAAGTGGATTAGAAAACAGTGACAGAATTACACAATGAAATACTAAGCTGTTGTAAAATAAATAAATAAATAAATAAATAAATAAATAAGAAGAAATTCTTACTATTTGCAACAGCATGGATTGAAAAGGAGAGCATTATGCTAAGTGAAATAAACCAATCAGAGAAATATCACATGATCTCACTCATTTGTGGAATATAATGAACACTGTAAGCTGATGAACAAAAATGGATCCAGAGTCATGGAAACATCAAACTGACTCTCCAACCTATGAAGGAAGGTGAGGGTGAGGGGGTAAGAGATGAACCAAAGGACTTATATGTGTACATTTGTGCATAACTGTTGGACAAAGACAGCAGGTGGTGAGGGCATGTGCCTGGTGGGTGAGGTCGGCAAAGGAGAAATCAATGAGGAAAAAAGAAGACTTACATTACACTTTAAACAATAATCAATTTAAAATTTAAATATATATACATAAAATATCCCATGCAGTCTTTAAAATTCTAAATCTCCTTTGCCATTCTATTCTTCAAATACTTTTATTGATTTCAGGAAGAGGAGAGGGAGAAAATAACAGATACATCACTAAAGAGAGAGAATCATTTATTGGCTGCCTCCCAAATGTCCTCCACTAGGGATCCAGCTCACAACTTTAGGCTTGTACCTAACCAGGAATGGAACCTTGACCTCCTGGTTCATAGTTCACTACTCAACTACTGAGCCACCCCAGGCATTCTCCTTAATCACTTTAATGTGTACATCGTTCTCTTTAATCACTTTAATGTGTATATGGTTAACATTTATATAACTCACAACAAGAGTATTTATACTCAAATAGCATCTACATAAAAGCAGATTTTGAAAACACCCCACAACATAGTTCTGCATGCAACTCTAGCACATCATCTGGTCAAACAGCAGGTGGCCTGGCTATTTTTCTGATAATCCCAAGGGATGAATCCACTGTTTTCACTGTAACCACACCCCTACCACTCAGTCCCACCCCAGGGCTGACTGCTTCAGCTGTTTGGGTAAAGCAGGATCAGGGGGACCCCATGCAGAAGCAGAGCCCCACTGGGCACCCTGTGCTGGGCTCTTCCCTGTCCTCAGGAGGAGAGCAGGAGACTGAGGGGAAAGGATGCTGGGGGACTTTGCTGGGAGGGAAAAGAGGAAAAGCCCATTTACTGACTCTTACTCTACGCCAGGCCCACTGCAAAGCCTTCAACATGCACCATCTCCTTGGATCTTACCAGCATCTACTAAGCTGGGTGAGCACCATGATCCTCATTTGACAGGGGAGCTGAGGTTCTTGCCAGAAGTCCCTCCACCCACCAGCACCCCTCCTAAGCGTGAGTCTTCATTAGAGTGCCTTTTGATTAGGGTCCCTGTGAAGGGGTAATTTTATGTGTCAACTTGACCTGAGGTCGTCCAACTTTTGGACCTCATGGACCATCAGTTGGCGACCACTGAACTTGATGGCGCTAAGGGATGACCAAATAGTTGATAAAGGCATTCTGGGTGTAAGTGGACTGGGTTAGCTTTTGATTCAGCACACGAGTAAGGAGATCTTACAGTGCAGCGGGGCTTCCTCCAATCTCTTGGGGGCCCGAGTGGAATAGAAAGAGGAAGGAAGGAAGGAAGAATTCTCTCATCTCAGTCTGAATGGGAGAGCAGAGAGCGGTAGGTGTGGGAGGCCCACGGAGGCAGGCTGGTGCTGACCACAGCCTCCACCTCGGTGGAATTATTCTGATGGATTTGGGAGCTCATGGTTGCTTGGTAAAAAGGAGTTAAGGTAAGAAAAAACTGTGTTGGCTGATCTCGGAGGTGGTTCCCAAGTGGTGACTGGGAAAGATGGTGGAGGGTGGTCGGAGGCTGGAAGAAGGGGTGTCCCTGGGTCTGTTCCGTCTGTTTCGTCCAAACCCTGTTGAAGCAAGAGAATGTGAATCCCTTTATTGTTTTTCCAGAAACGGGAATGACTACCTTTCGCCAGGAATATGGGAAACCCGCATGGCAGGCAGGATTTCAGTAGCCTCTGTAAGGCAGGGGAATCATAGCCTTCGACTTGAAGGAAGTTCATCAGATGAAGGAAGAATCAAAATGTCTGCCTTTGCCTATTTTGTACCTATATCCTAGTCAACCAAACCAGTTACGGAGTGAAAGTTAAGTATCTGTTATTTATAGTAAACAGATTGCTATATAAAAATGGCAATCTAATTTTAAGTAGACTAGAGACCTGTTGCACATGCAAGAATGGGCCTTCCTTCCCCTGGCTGCCGCCACCACTTTCACTCTGGCCAGGAGCCACCTTTCCGCCTTCCCATGCTGCACAGAGGCCTGGAGTGGCTGGGGTGGTGTGGAATGCCTGCATTGTCACCATGGCAATGACACAAGCATCCTGCCCTGCCCCTGGCTGCTCAGCGCCTGTGTATGCGAGTAACCCACCATCTTTGTTGGGTTAATTTGCATACTCCTAATTGGCTGGTGGGTGTTGTGAATGTACGGTTAATTTGCAACTTTCTCTTTTATTAGTGTAGATAGTCATAGGGTTAAAAGATAATCCCACAAAAAAAAATTGCGAGGAAGAAAATAATAATAAAGAACAGAAATAATTGGAAATAAATATATAATAGGAAAAATCAACAAAACCAAAAGTTAGCTATTAAAATCAATTATAACATTGACAAATCTTCATGATTAAAAAAAAGAGAGAGAGACAGAATTCACAAATAACCCATACCAGGAATGATAAAAGGGATACACTACAGGTATTAAATACAAGATGAGATATGATGAACTATTATATGACAATAAATTTGAAAATTTAAAAAAAATGGGCAAATTCATAGAGAAAAACAACTTAGCAAAAGTGATTAAAGAAGAAGTAAAATGCTTGAAAATTTCTACAACCACTGAAGGAAATGAATTGGTAGGAAAAACATTTCACAATAAAAATTTCAGGCTCAGAAGGCCTTCCTGGTAGGACTCTTATCAAATATCCACACAAGACATTATTGTAATCTCACACACATTCTTTCACCCACAAAAAGAAGGGTTCCCCAATGCTAGCCTAGCATCTCCTTAATACTACCCAGTACTTAGCCGAGGAAAATCCAAAAAGTAATCCCTCTACCTCATGAACAAACAGGCAAAAGTCCTTAAACACACGAGCAAACCAAACTTAGTATCATTTGAAATGGATAAAACGCGATGAGCGAGTGGAGTTTGTACCAGGAACACCAGGTGGTTTATCCTTAAGAAAATTAATGACTGTTATTCACAACATTCAGAAAGTAAAAGAGAAACAGCATATGATTGGTTTAATACATGCAAAAAGAAGCATTTGCCGAGGCCGGTTTAGCTCAATGGATAGAGCGTCGGCTTGGGGACTGAAGGGACCCGGGTTCGATTCCGGTCAAGGGCATGTACCTTGGTTGCGGGCATATCCCCAGTGGGGGGTGTGCAAGAGGCAACTGATCGATGACACTCTCTCATCGATGTTTCTAACTCTCTATCTCTCTCCCTTCCTCTCTGTACAAAATCAATAAAATATATTTTTTAAAAAAAGAAGCATTTGATAAAATGCAACGCATCTTTGATAAAGCTTGGCAATCTAACACCTGCAGCAAATACATTAACGGTGAAATGGCAAAGCTCTTTTCTGGCCAGCGGGAGCAAATCAAGGACATCGGCTGCCATCCTGTCTCCACACCAATACAAGGAGACAAGAAAAGGGACAAAGTATAATCGAAAAATATAAACAAGAAAGAGGGGGAGAGGAAAGAGCCCTGTGGGGTTGGATGGAGGGTGTGATGCTGATTCATTAATAAAAAACACATAAACGCTACAATTGCATCCCATATTTACATGCCCATGTAAAACTAAAATAAGAGAGCCCTAGCTAGCTGACTAGCTCTGTTCCTTCCTTCAAGGAGGACGCGAGCAACACAAATTGGGAATCAGTCTTTTTCTTAGGATATCTTTGCCTTTAAAAATCTCTAGCAAAGAAATTGGACCAGTTACATAAAATTCAAAGTAATTTTTAAAAATCAGCTAAGGCCTCGGGCTTCTGTGCAGAGATGGCCAAGTCCAAGAACCACACCACACACTACCAGTCCTGAAAATGGCACAGAAACGGCATCAAGAAACCCCGGTCATGCCTAAACCGGTTTGGCTCAGTGGTAGAGCGTCGGTCTGTGGACTGAAAGGTCCCGGGTTCGATTACGGTCAAGGGCATGTACATTGGTTGAGGGCACATCCCCGGTGGGAGTTGTGCAAGAGACAGCTGGTCGATGTTTCTCTCTCATCGACGTTTCTAGCTCTCTATCCCTTTCCCTTCCTCTGTAAAAAAAAAAATCAATAAAATATATTAAAAAAAAAAAAGAAAAAGAAACCCTGGTCACAAAGATAAGAATCTCTTAGGGGGTAGAGCCCAAGTTGCGCTTTGTCAAGAAGCACAACAAGAAGGGCCTGAAGAAGATGCAGGC